AAATAATTTAAATGAACAATTTAAATAAATAGTTAACAATTAAATATTCAATACACAATTTAAATAAGTAAATAAACTATTTAATTTTCAAATATTATGCTCTATCTATTTTCTCTTATACAAGGTCTAAATATTTTTATATTTTACAAGATGAATTACCATTTGGACGTCGCTATGAAACAGATTCTCGATAAAATTACGTCGAACTATAATTTTATCAGTTTCGCATTAGTTCTAGATTTGGAAGTTATTGATGACATTAACACATTCAACAACTATCCATGGAGACAAAACTGACAGTTATCAGCCCTCCTCAACGATCTTGAAGTACGTATTATTCATTTGTGATTTATGTTGTACGTCATTTCGAAATTTCGATGCATGGTTATTAACTCGGTGAACATTTAAATAATAATTAAATGATTATTTGAATGATAAATAATTAAATGATTATTTAAATGATAATAAATAATTAATTGAAATAAATTCAATAAACAAGTAACTTAAATGTTAATTAAGCAATAAAAATAATTAATTGACATAAATAACAAAGAAATATAAATATTTTAAATTTTACAAGATGGATTGCCATTTGAACACTGCCATGACACATATTGCTAACAAAGTTGCGTCGAACTATAACTTTGTTTGCTTCGCATTAGTCCTATATTTGTTGAATGAGGAGCACGCAGACCTGTTACATCGATCCTACTTATGACGGTAATTCTGACACAGTTGGGAGATACATTCAAGAAATACGACGATGCATGCATGGTCATTAACTCGGTGAATATTTTTTTATTTATGAAATAATTATATATATATTGTAAAATTTATTTAAATAAAGTAATGAAATATTAGATATATACTACACACAACCAATTAAGATAATTTATAAATGAAATATCTAAATAAGAAATTAAATTAAATATTAATTTTTCATTTAATTAAGTGATTAAATAAATAATTAAACAACGTAATTAAATATTAAATAAATAATATACATAACTATGCCGAAAAGGACCCCCAACTTGACAGATAACATCGCGAGTTTGGATGACACCCTGTACGAAACATATTATTGAGGTGCCAGAACAAATAGTTAGCAAGAGAACTAGATTGCTATCACAATACATTGTTTCTCTGTACACGATCGAGGCAAAGAAGAGAACATTTGTTGACGGTACGTTGCCCAACCTCTTTCGTGAAATCAACTCAGGTGATTGTGAAATCTTCGCATTGAAGTTAGGACCGTAAATGGATCGGATATATGGATCGGATCTGCTCAAATTCGATCCGATTCGTTAATAATAATTATCCTATCCTATCCGATCCGATTCAATAATCCGACGGATATTTGAATGTTTAATCCATATTCGATTAACTATGTTATTGGATATCCGATTCGAAATTGAAAAAAATAGATAAATCAAGATTTATCCAATTTATTGACAGCCCTAATTGAAGTACATTGAATTTTTAGTATCGAACGTGGCATAGAACTGATAAACTAAACACACATTAATATACACAACTATGCCGAAAAATGACCCCCCAACTTGACTTATAATGTCGCGAGTTTGGATAATGTGATAATTATGCCGGAGAAGACGATAAAAGTGACATTATGTAACAAATATGTTTATTGACGTGTCAAAACAAATGGTTAGTAAGAGGACTAGATTGCTATCACAACACATTATTTTCCCGTACACCATCGAGGCAAAGAAGAGAACATTCGTTGACAGTACGTTGCCCAACCTCTTCTGTGAATTCGAACCAGGACGATTGTGGAATCTTTGCATTGAAGTTAGGGTTATAAATGGATCGGATCTACTCAAATTCGATTCAATCTGTTAAGAATAATTATCCTATTTGATCCAATCCAATAATCCAACAGATATTTGAATGTTAAATTCATATCCGATTAACTATATTATCAGAAATTAGATCCGAAATGAAAAAATTAGAAAAATAAAAATTTTATTTATTTTTTCATTGAAAATCATAGCCCCAACAAGATTTTAATTAATTATTTATTTTAAAAAATATTTGAACTATATTGATGGGCTCACTTATTATAATAGAAGGTCTAAAATATCATTTTGGAATGTTTTAATGATATCGGATCGGATCGGTTCGATCTATATCCATATTTGATTTATTTAGTTAACGAATTATCGTATTTGAATCTCGATTGGGTTATCGGATTAAAACCCTAAATCCATCTCCCATTAATTTCGTCGGATTCGGATCAAATTGAAATATATTGAATTTTTAGCATCAGACGTGACGTAGAGCTGATAAACCAAACACACATTAAAATGTAAGCTTTTTTATTATTATTTACATTGTGATCCATAGTTGTAATAATTTAAAACGTAAGCATTTTTTTAAAACGTTTATAATACTTTAATTTTTATGTAATTGTATAATAAATAACCAATTACTCTTAATTACATATATAACACACTATAAAATAAAGAAAATTGAGGAAATCAGTGACATATTATAAATAGAGAGTACATACAATTTAAGTAGATATTACATATTCGTCGGGTCAATTTTCACGTAATCTACATACTATAAATAGAGAAAATTGAGGAAACCAATAATATATTATAAATAGAGAGTACATACGATTTAAATAGATATTACGCATCCGTTGGGTAGAGAGTAACATACTATAATCGAGAACTTCTCACTTGACTTCATTTAGTAGAAGAAATATGTTTTCGGCATTCTTGAATAATGTTCGATGCCTTGAAAATGTGATCGTGCCTAATATTCGACTTCCATCTCTGTTAGATATTCTCATGCATCATGTGATTTATATTCTAGTTAAATATTAAATAAATAATATATGTAATCAATTAAGATAATTAATTAATGAGATATTTAAAGAATAAATTAAATTTAGTATTAATTTTGTATTCGAATAAGTGATTAAATAAATAATTAATTAAAGTAAAGAAATATTAAATAAACAATGTACATAACCAATTAAGATAATTAATTAATGAAATATTTAAAGAAGAAATTAAATTAAATATTAATTTTTATTTGAATAGGTTTTAAAATAAATAATTGAATAAAGTAATTAAATATACATAACCAATTAAGATAATTAATAAAGAAATATTTAAACGAGAAATCAAATTCAATATTGAATAATTCTACATATATTAATTTATTAGAATGTCCATAATGTATATGTGAAATTTTATGAGTAAATGATCGAAAAAACTGTTTTTTAACTCTCCAATAATATTATGGCACTTGTACATTATGGTATAATGTTTTTATTTAACAAGCAATTAAAATAAAATAATTAAATATTAATGATTAATAATATACATAACCAATTAAGATAATTAATTCCTGAAATATTTAAATAATTAATTAATATTTAAAAATTAATTTTTTTATTCAAATAAGTGATTAAAATAATAATTAAATAAGGTAATGGAATATTAAATACTTAATATACACAATTAATTAAGATAATTTATAAATGAAATATCTAAATAAGAAATTAAATTAAATATTAATTTTTTATTTAAGCAAGTGATTAAATAAAGAAATTAAATATTAAATATATAATATACATAATCGATTAAGATAATTAATTAATGAAATATCTAAATAAGAAATTAAATTAAATATTAATTTTTTATTTAAGCAAGTGATTAAATAAAGAAATTAAATATTAAATATATAATATACATAATCGATTAAGATAATTAATTAATGAAATATCTAAATAAGAAATTAAATTAAATATTAATTTTTTATTTAAGCAAGTGATTAAATAAAGAAATTAAATATTAAATATATAATATACATAATCGATTAAGATAATTAATTAATGAAATATCTAAATAAGAAATTAAATTAAATATTAATTTTTTATTTAAGCAAGTGATTAAATAAAGAAATTAAATATTAAATATATAATATACATAATCGATTAAGATAATTAATTAATGAAATATCTAAATAAGAAATTAAATTAAATATTAATTTTTTTATTTGCGTAGGTGTTTAAAATAAATAATTAAATATAAAGTGAAAAGTGTTTGATTTTTTAATTTGTAAGTTAAGGGTATTTTTGTCTTTTGCAACAAAATTCTATTTTTGTAATTATATAAACTACTTAAGGGTATTTTTGTCTTTTACTCAATGAAAGGTTATTTTGGTGATAGGCAAATTTTTTTTGATTAAAGTGAAAAATTGCCAACATCGACTTGGCGAAACTAAAAATTACCCCCACGTTCATCAGACATGCTGTGAATTGGAAACCCTAATCCAATTCGAAACCTGAAAATCCCCCAAATCCATTGGCCACTGGAAGGAATTCGTTGAACTTTTCTTCTTGAAGGCAAAATCGTTTCTGTGGAAGTAAATGAAATTACCCAAAATTGAAACCAACGAACCCCAAGGCGAACCTGGCGATTTTGCCCCAAAAAATTGATCCGCATCTACATCGGCGGGTTCATGGATACACCGATAGTTTACTGGGTTTCTTCCATCTTTTTTCCAGTTTTTGGAGGAGGATGATTCTGTTACTTATTTTAGATATTTTAAGAAAAAGCCCCTTTCTTGTCAATGGAGGTGATGAGGTATGCATCTATAAATATTTCAAGTCCTACCAAATTTTCGCATTCTGCAGTAATATTTTTGGTTTGTTCAATTAAAATTCTTCTTGAACTTTTTGGAAATTCTGGAGATGGTGCATAATAATGAAATTAACCATTAATTAGCAAATCTTAACTTGCTTTCTTGAATTTGGGTTCATTGTCACTGATCAAGCCTTTTTCTTCTGCTCGGTTATCTGTAACTTTGTAATGGTACTTTTTTTGGTGGCTTTGTTGTGGAACATTTACACTTTTTGATTCCTGTTAACATTTTTTTTAGGAGTGGAAGACGTGCTGTGGGATGTAAGTTTGGATTTGATTCTGGTAAGAAGCCTGATGCTGCATTTGAGCTCCATCAGCAACCGGGCACTCTAGTATGATTCACTCAATGGAGTCAGCCAAATATTAGGCTGGGATATGGAAGTGGATGACTTGGAATATCCGTGGGAGGAGCTGTTGTCTCAGTGTTCATCAGATGACGTGGAAGTTAACTTAGAAGAAATGATTAACGAATTACAACAAATGGATGAGGCTGAATCGTCGACCTGGAAGTGGCAAGGGCTAAAAGAAAAATAGCTGCAAAGACGACAAGAGCTACGTTCGTTCGGTGTGACACTGATAGTATTGGCATGTTTCTCTTTTGACGTATATCTCTGTTGATGTTAATGGCTAATGGTTAATTTGAGCATTAGCATACATACGAAGATTTGTATTCCTGAGCACGAAATTGTGGCATCACAATAGAAACTTTAATAAAAGCACTGTGACTAACGTTTGGAAATAATTTCAACTGAATTTAATCCAAATTTCAACATAATCAACATACGCCAAATTTAGTACCGATTACAAACTACGAAAAATATAACATTAGTCTTTTCTTCCATTACAATGTTGGAACACGTTCACGTTTCTCTTTCCTTTCCTTTGCTGTTCTCTCCAGCAGATCCTTTTACCTTGCGGATAATTATGTTCGGGGATATCTCCACGTTTTCTTTTTTGAATATTTGAGCGAATCTCGTGAATATAAACGACAAATCTTCAATCGGATCTTTAGACGTACATTTACCCAAACAAACACACCCCGAGTCTCCACTAGACTCACCTTCAAACTGCAATGGTTTTTTCCCAGATGACGGAACATCATTCCCAGATGACCGGGCTTCCTAATACCAGCCACGAGACACTAGAAAAAAAAATTTGTGACTTAATCCTCCTCATTTGAATTCTCGAAAGTGACGCTAAATTTGTAGTGCTTCAAAGTTTCTACTTTGTCCACTGCAAATAGTGCAAAGAAAATATCGTCAAATTAGTCCAGCTATGTCATACTGATACACGTGAGATGCATCAACTAGAGAAAAAGATCAATATAACCATAGATACAAAATTCTTTGCCACTGCAGTTACAAATCAAAGATCAATATAGAACAATCATGCACACATAAATTGTTTCTGAATATGGAAGACTCTCTAAATGCAAAGAAAATTCTACCGTATCCTTGCATCATCTATACATGCCATACAACATTTCCATTAATTTTCTTCAACTCTAAAAAACTTACATCCCACAGCACGTCTTCCACTCCTAAAAAACATGTTATAGGAATCAAAAAGTGTAAATGTTCCACAACAAAGCCACCAAAAGAAGTACCATTACAAAGTTATAGATAATCGAGCAGAAGAAAAAGGCTTGATCAGTGACAATGAACCCAAATGCAAGAAAACAAGTTAAGATTTGCTAATTAATGGTTAATTTCATTATTATGCACCATCTCCAGAATTTCCAAAAAAGTTCAAGAAGAATCTTTAATTGAACAAACCAAAAATATTACTGCAGAATACGAAACTTTGGTAGAACTTGAAATATTTATAGATACATACCTCATCACCATTGACAAAAAATGGGCCTTTTTCTTAAAATCTCTAAAATAAGTAACAGAATCGTCCTCCTCCAAAAACTGCAAAAAAGATGGAAGAAACCCAGTACACTATCCGTGGATCCATTAAACCTGCCGATGCAGATGCAGATCGATTTTTTGGGGAAAAATCGCCAGGTTCGCCTTGGGATTCGTGGGTTTCAATTTTGGGTAATTTCATTTACTTCCACAGAAACGATTTTGCCTTCAGGAAGAAAAGTTCAACGAATTCCTTCCAGAAGCCAATGGATTTGGGGGATTTTCAGGTTTCGAATTGGATTAGGGTTTCCAATTCACAGCGTGTCTGATGAATGTTGGGGAAGTTGGGTGAGTGAAGTATTTTGGGGGAGATTTTTATAAATGGCCTACTACTATTCATTTTTGGTAAAATGTCTATAATACCCTTAATGAAATAATTTATCATATATTGCACAAGATATCCTTAATTTATTGGGATAGTCTTAAATTCCTCTATTCCTCTCATTTCGAGTTTTAATATATAATTTCATCCTTTGATCTAATAAATTAGCATAATCTGTAATATAATTATCATGTAATTTACTAAGATTATCAAATTCCTTCGATAATATATCCATAATCTCTAATTGAGAATAAATATTTTCTATTTTTTCCATTAATCTATCTAACAGATTATCTAATCCTTTAATTGTATAACCTGGCATTATTCAAATAATTCCTTGCAAACTATATGAATAATAACATATTTAGATAAGTTTTTTGCAAACATGAACAATAATAATCCCTACAATTCTTTCAAGATATCAGAAGAATTCTTTCTAAATTTAACAAAGACAATAATTTTACCTTACTTTTGATCTTAAATCTGTATTCTTATAACCGAGTGACCTTCAGGCTCTGAATCTGCAAACTGCTCCCTTAAACGGCCTCTTGCCTCAATGGGAATTCTGCTATTTCAGCTTCTTGCCCTCACTGTATCTTTTCTTAGAATTAAGAATAGAGATCTTAAGTAAAGAAAATTCTCTCTTTGTTAAAGTAAGAAAGAGATTATCTTCTTCAATCTATCAAGAAT